ACAACATTCAGCACATTTTTAGTAATCAGTAGCTATTTTTAGTGTTTTGGGCGTTAATTTATGATCTGTGATATAACTGAAGAAAACAATTTGTACAAAAAAAAAAGAAAATCAAGAAACTGAGAATTTTTGGAGGTGTTAGATCATCTCCCTGGCCCTAGTACTCGGGATGTAAACCAGTGCCTCACTCATGCTAGGCAAGTGCTCTACCACTGAGCTATACCCAACCTGCAATACATAGAGGTGATTTAATTTGAACTCTACATGTGTAAATTCCCTGAATAAATCTAGTCCCTTCTTATATACCTTTATTTAAAAAAATTTTGGGGGGGTACTGAGGATTTAATCCAAGGGCAATTTACCACTGAGCTAATTTCCCATCTCTTTTCACTTTTTATTTTGAGACAGGGTCTCCCTAAGTTGCATAGGGCCTCACTAAATTGCTAAGGCTGGCCTAGAACTTGTGATCCTCCTGTCTTAGTCTCTCAAACTGTTGGGATTACAGGTATGCCGCACCATGCCTTGCTCTTATGTACCTTTAGAGGTAAATCAATTTGGTTCAATAATCAGATTTCATATAGTTTTGTTATTTATAGCTTTACAAAGAGACTGAAATTCATTAAGTTTTAAATTCATGTATTTTAAATTTTTTTTTAATATTTATTTTTTAGTTGTAGTTGGACACAATATCTTTATTTTATTTTTATGTGGTGCTGAGGATCGAACCCAGGGCCTCGCACCTGCTAGGTGAGCACTCTACTGCCGAGCCACAATCCCAGCCCCTAAATTCATGTATTTTAAATTAAAATATAATTCTTAATTTACAGATGTTGCACAAACATAGCCAATTTTCTTTTATCTGTTTGGAAGTATCAGTTATCCCAAATTATTTATAAATATAATTCTTCAAATAAATGATTAGCTGCCAAGAAATCCTATATAACTCTTGTCCTAAAACAAGGAAGCTTTTACATGGATATTATTTAACAAGTGTCTTTATATCTAAACAAATTATAACTTAAAATTTATGGCACATGCTTAAGGAATTGAAAGGTTTAAACCTATAGTTGTTACTTACAGACATCAATCTAAGTAAAGGACATACAGGTCTAGAAATAAACTAATCCCTAAATTGACTTTCAGCTTAAACATTGTCTTATTCTCTGATAACAATCCTTTCTTGTCCTATTACTCTTAACTGCTCTGAGGAGAATGAGATAGGACAGGCCTATCTACTGTAAGGCCCCAGTGAGGAGGGAACGATTCTGACACTGAAACCTGTTAAGGTTTATTCCTATTTGGCTCTCATTAATATAGCCTCTAGTTAAATCTAAGGAAAACTGCTTTAGTTACAAGATAGACTATGGATCATTCTTTTTAATTTTTTTTTCTAGTTGCAGATGGATATAATACCTTCATTTTATTTATTTATTTTTATGTGGTGCTGAGGATCAAACCCAATACCTCACGTGTGCTAGGCAAGCGTTCTACCACTGAGCTACAACCTGAACCCTATAGATTATTCTTTGAAAAACATCTATGTGCAATGGGAATGATTTCGAAGTCGGGAATTCAAAGAGGCTCTGAGGTCTTTCAGAAGACCTCATCTCTGACTTGGTTTTCTCATCTAATAAATAAGGCTTTCCAAATAAGCCTGTGGTGAGAACCAATGAGAAAATTCATGTAAAAGCAATTATAAAACTGTAAAACATATCCATTTATGAAGGACCTGTCCAGCAGGGAACTTACATTTGTAACTCATCCCCCCACCCAGGAAAATCAAATCAAGTGTGTAATATAAAGGACAAAAGATGTGCTTTTGGTTGAAAATGTTTTTTTTAATATAAGGTTTATAAATATATTAAAAGTGGTAAATTGGGGACTATGTAATGAAAATACATACAAGGCAAATCATCCAATGTGAAATTAGTATAATATAAAATTTATAAAACCACTTTCTGTTCCTATATTATCAATAAACTCAAGGGAAATCAATATGAAAAAATCCTCAGAACTCAAGGTCTTATGTCCTGTGCCTCAGTAAAGAAATCATTAATGTGGTTTACATTGGCACAAATCCCGACTCAAAGAAATGGGTATAGGAATAACAAGTCAAACTTGAAGCAATAAAAGTTTTACATCATATATTTACACATTCATGTTGCTATGAACTCTTAAGACATGGAAGAATGTGACATTTCTTAAAATGATCAATATCACATCCTGTATACTCTGGAATCAATATTGACCATTTTAAAAACTTCTCTTTGAAAGGTCATTGTATTGAAAGCGCTATATCTCTTATAAAATAATAGCAACACTTAAAAGAAATTGATTTTTCTTGAACAGTTTACTCTTTGAACCCTTTCTATTTTACTAAATGAAAGGCCATAGTATGAAGTGAATAAAACTTTTTATTTTTCCTCTATATCATTAAAATACAACCAACGTGATATTTTAAGTTACATATCAGCATGAGACCAATTAGTTATATATCAGAAATGCAACCAGAGTTAACAGTTGGAAAAATAGACAAGTTTTCTATCCTGTCAGGAAAAAGGTCATGCATAAACACATTCAACATATTAAAACCACAATCTACTGACAAAATTTATGAACCTTAAACAAGGACTGCTTATAACACAAAGCAGAACTTCTACCTCCGGAGACTTATAAACAATTCCTATGCCCTTTGTAGCAAGAGTTCATTATTTTTGCCAGACACAGGCATATTTTGCAGTTGTGCAGGTTTTCTTATTTTTTTGTTGGTTACATTAAGAATAGTAACGTTTATTGAGTTACACAGTGAATTACATTCATTGAGTGTTTTCCCTAAGCTAAGCACAGCCTTAAGGCTATAGACGTGTTTTATTTAATTCTCAACAACTCTATGAGGCAATCAATGATTAGGTAATATACTCAAGTCTACGTAACTAATAAAAAAGCCAAGATTCCATCCCAGACTGACTGACTCCAAAGCCCATATTCTTAACTGTTACATTAAACTTCAAGATGAAAAAGGGGACCAAAAAGAAAAAAATAAATTAATTGTAGTTTTCAGTTTTAAGATCTTCTGTCAAGTATCTATGTCTAAGTATTTCAGTTTTAGGCTCTTATGTCAAGTGCACTTTTCTGCTGCTTCAGGATTTATTCCTTTTATAAAGAAATACACAGGGGCTGGGGCTGTAGCTCAGTGGCAGAGTGCTTGCCTAGCAAATGTGCGGCACTGGGTTCGATCCTTAGCACCACATATAAACAAACAAAATAAAGGCATGCTGGTCATCTACAACTACGAAAAAGAAAAAAAGAAATATACACACCTATATAAGCAAAAGTAAGCAGAAGTCATCACAACCTAAAATAAAAAACCCTTGGAGGCAATCTGATTTTATAATAGGGCTTAAAACAAAAATTGAAAGAAACATTCCTGGAGGAATTAGTTCCATGACACCTGATAGGGTGCACATCAGTTTTTAAGATTAAATTATTTGTTATTAAATGTACAAGACATTGCTTGACATCTTAAGCATTTGCAGACAACTCATGTCAATAATGGAAAATTTAGTTTTTTTTTTTATGTTATTGAGGTTACTTCAGATTGTATGGAATTTCAATAAATTAGAAATACCTCGCTCAGCCAGTAGCTGTTCTCTTAGTATCATAATTATAGTGTACACTGAACCAGTTAATTAGTGTCTAGCACAGTGAAAGAAAATTTGTTCCTGAAAGGTATTTTCCTTTTGTTAACACTGGGAATATGTAAGATGTTAAGGCCCGCGCCCAGCGAAAAAATATTCTGAAAAGTTATCTTAATATTTGTAAAGCTGTGCCTTTTTTATAATTTGTGACCAATTCCTTTTCCAAGACCCCAGCTGAAGGCTATCCTAACTGTCAGGGCCTTTCCCATTACAACATGGAGGTATTTTGCAACCATTCACAGGCTTGCAATAAAGGTGAACATGAACGCTATGTGCCAGGTCCAGTGGTATGCACTTTCCAGGCACTGTATCTTCACAACATCTCCATGAGGTAAGTACTGTCGTTATTCCGGTTTATTGATGAGAAAAGTGAGGCCTAGGAGTCTTAAGTCATCCACCCAAAGGCAAACTCATGAGGAAGGGCAAGGATATGAACTCAGGTCTGACCTCCAACAACTTCTCTAAACTGTTCTCAAAAGAAGAGTCTCAAGAACCCCATAGAAATCGCTATATCACTCTTCTTAAACAAACAAAATGTAAAGCATCCAAACAGGCTTCGCTTTAACAATTAAAAAAAAAAAAAGGAAAGGAAAAAAGAAATCTAAGCTCTTCCTAACCCCCATAAAGAGCGGGGCAGGCAAGAGCCGGCTCACAGAAAAGTAGAAAGAGTGATAAAAGGGCCAAGACCCTACAGATGAAACTTATCTGAATTACCGAAATATTTTAGAAAAAAAAAAGCACAAAACCAACCACGAAAAGGAAAACGATGAAGGCAGCAGAAGGCGGCTGAAGTTAACACAGCAACCGGTGCAAAGGAAGCTGTCACAACTGATGCTGCAGTTCATGAAGGCCACAGAGAGCGGTGGAGAAATCCGGAAAAGTCTAAAGGCAAAACCAAAGCTGACTTCATAAGCCTCTAGTTTTTATTTCAGATCTGCAGTGTGGTTCACACACTAATCTCGCTAAATTACCATTTAAGTTATTACAGATGGTGAAAAGGCGTGAGCAGAGGTAGGCGTCAAGGTTCGCGGTAACCAGAGGCAACGAATCCTCGCTCTTTGGTACTTTGCTCCAATGGCCAGCTGCTAGTCAAAACCACTCGCTCCCGGAGCTCACACCGGCTCTGCGGAGGGCAGCGACTCTGCCGCCCTAGTCGCCGCCAGCCCCTAAGTTTGTGCCAAGTCACCAAGCGCGTTATCGGTGCCTAACGCCACCTCCAGCCGCGGTACTTATCGGCGAGTACCTGGAGGCTCTGCGCCCGGCCGAGGTCGTCCCGCTCCCCGGCCCCCCTCCAGCCCTTACCTGCCCAGCTCTCGGCCAGGGCTCAAGGTGTAGCCGTCCTGGAAAGGCTCAGTGCGCACGGCAGCGCGGATCTCTGTCAGCAGCCCGCGGGTTTGGGGCGGCGGCAGCCGGCGCGGCGCGCTCTGACTCCGACTCGCCGGGCCCGAGCCTGAGGTGGCAGCCAAGGAGGAGCCGCCGCTGCCCGGCTTCTCCAGAGGGATCATGGTGCTCGGGCGTTCTTCCTTTTCTGCCGCTCAGCTCGCTCCCGGTAGCCGGCGGGTAACGGGCCCGCCTTCGGCTGCCTCGTGGCGGTCCGTGGAGTCTTAAGATACACGCTCTAGCCGATGAGGAGCTCGGACTGCGGCCGGCAGGGTCCGGTCAGCTCCGCCCCGCACCCGACCCTGCCCCTCTCGCAGGCCTCGCCCACCGCACAGGCCCCGCCCCTCGACGATCTCCCGTGGGGTCCTGAGCGCCCGATGCCTCACGCGCGCCCTCTGCAGCCGAGAAAGAGAAGGTGCAGCCTGACCGGCTGTCTGGGCGGCACGAAGGCAATGCACAGCGCCTCCCTTTGGTTAGGAGGACCGACTGTGTCAGCTGTGTTGAGCACCTGTTGAGCATCTGGAAGTTCCAAAGCTGACTCTGGGTTAAGGGAAAGAAAGATCCAAGAAATGAAATCATAGAGATACCTAAAGGAATAAGGAAAAATAAAAAGGGTTGATACGTGGCCAGATATGAATAAATATTAAACATATGAAAGGACAAAATAATGTCATGTGGGGTTTAAATCAGAGAACTAAAATATACACAATAATAGAACAAAAAGTAGAAAAGAGTAATTGGAATTAAAATGTTCTAGCATTGTGTGAGAATTGAGAAAAATATTTACTTTTAATAATCAAGAATGAAAATTATAATCTCTAGAGTAAGAGTTAAAATAATAGAAAAATGAATAACAAGCTAATAAGATGTCAAATAAAATAATGAAAATATTTCATCCAAAGGAGCAAGAAATAAACAGATAAGGAATTGACTAACATAAACAGATGGCAAATTTAAAGTTTTAAAAATTACAATAACATTAAATATAAATGGAATCTATGTATCTCCCAATTAAAAGTCAAAGTTTGTACATAACATTAAAAAATAATCTCAACTATAATGTTGCTTCTAAGAGACACCTTTAAAGGCAATATAAATGTTGAAATAAAAAGAATGCAAAGAATTATGTAATATGAATGGTACCTAATTGAAAGCTGCTATAGCTATAAAAATATAAGACAAAGTGAATTTTTAAAAAATATTTTATTTTTTAGTTGTAGTTGGACACAATACCTTTATTTTATTTGGTACTAAGGATCAAACCCAGGGCCTCACACGTGCTAGGTGAGTGCTCTACAGCTGAGCCACATCCCCAGTCTGACAAAGTAAATTTTAAAGCAAGAATTATTATTAGAAATAAAAATTCTTTGTGATGAAAGCATCAACCCCCAAACATTGTAATAATTATAAATTTGTATAATCTTAAAAGTATAGCACTGAAATATACAAACCCAAAATACAGGACTAAAAGAAGAAATATACAAATCCACACTCCAAACCTAGTTTTGTTTTTTTTTTTTTTGTACTGGTAACTTACCCTCTCTGTAAATGATAGAACAAGAAGACAAAAATAGGAAGGATATACAAGTTTTGAACAATACAATCAAGAAAACTGACATAACTGAAATACACACATACATATATACACAACACTGCAGAATACATTTTCTTTTGATGTAAGGAGAATATTTATTGATCATATACTGGCTCATAAAGCATATCTCAACAATTTTAAAGGATTAAAATTCTATAAAATCTATTCTATAATTTTGGTGGAATTAATCAAGAAACAAAATGTTACCTATCATTTTGATATATAACAACCACAGTCAGAAGCCCTATAAAATCACAAATGCTGAAAATTAATTAATTTGCTTCTCATCTATGATGATAAAAATATTGGAACAACATTGTATACTATTTGATGCCCATTCATGATTAATTTTAAAAATTAACAACCTAGAAAGAGAAAAATATTTCCCAAACTTAGTAAGATCTCTCTCAAAACCTACAGAAGAATTACTCTTGGAATCTGGGCATAGTAAAGACACCAGCTCTTACCACTTCTATTCAGTGTTCAGCAGAGAACCTAAATAATGTAATAAGACTAAAGTGGCATTAGTATTGGAAAGGAAGAGTTTAAATGGTCAGGAAGGAACAGATTGTTAAATGTCTGCAATTCAAGTACTCATCTAGAATATCCAAAGGGTCAACTGGAAAGGATGAAAATTAATAAATTTTACAAAGACAATTAAATTTAAAATAGATCAACAGCACTCTTATGTAAAGCAATATGAGGCATGAAAGAGAATAGGGAGATTACTCCATTTGCAATTGAATGAAACAATTCAATTGAATGAAGTATGTAGTAACAACCCTAACAAAAAATGCAGAAAGCCTACATTTCATTTTGAAAGACATAAATATTCTAAGAGACATAAGAGAAGACTTCAAAAAATGGATATACATGATATGTTCTTGAATGAAAAAAATAGATTCTGTAATTCTTTGCTAATCAGTCAATAAACTTAGCAAAATTCTTTTTTTAAATATATTTTTTTAGCTGTAAGTGGACAGAATGTGTTTATTTTGTTTATTTTTATGTGGTGCTGGGGATTGAACTCAGTGCCTCACGCATGCTAGGCAAGTACTTTACCACTGAGCCACAACCCCAGCCCCAACTTAGCAAAATTCTGATAAACCCCCAAGAGAATTTTTGGAGTTCTTTTTTTTCTAATTAATAATTTTATTTATTTATTTTATTTGTTCTTCCTAGATATATATGAAAGTAGAGTGTATTTTGACATATTATATGTACATAGTATAACTTGTTCCAATTAGAATCTCATTATTGTGTTTGTATACAATGTGGAGTTACATTGGTCAGTATCCATATATAAGGATAGGAAAGATATGTCCAATTTGTTCTACTGTCTTCTCTTTTTTTTAAGGTAGAACTTAAAAATAACATATATATATGGTTTTTTATATATATTTATATATATATTCATATACCTTTATTTTATTTTAAAAATGTGTTGCTGAGGATCAAACCCAGTGTCTTACGTGTGCTAGGCGAACACTCCACCACTGAGCCACACTCCCAGCCACACTCTACTGTCTTTTCCATTCCCTTTCTCTTCCCTTCATTCCCTGTTGTCTAGTCCAGTGAACTTGTAATCCTCCCCTCCCTTTTTGTGGGGTTAGCATCCACATATCAGAGAGAACATTCTGCCTTTTTTGGGGGGGAAGGGGAACTGGCTTATTTCACTTAGCATGATATTCTCCAGTTTTATTCATTAACTGGCAGAATACTACAATTTAATTCTTTTTATGGCTGAGTAATATTCCTTTGTGTATATATACCACATTTTCTTTATCCATTCATTTGTTGAAGGACACCTTCCTTGTTTTCATAGCTTGCCTATTGTGAATTGAACTGCTGTAAATGTTGAAGTGGCTGCGTCAGTGTAGTATGCCAACTTTAAGTCCTTTGTATTAGAGTTCTGGTTAAAATTATCCCAAAGTTTATCACAAAGAATGTTCAAATGAAAATAGGTAGAAAAATTTGGAAAAGAAAGTTTGAAAAGAGAGAACTAATAGGTACTAAAATATATCATGAAATAAGAATGCCCAACATAACAAAGTGGTTTTGAAATAGAGTTGAAATATACAAGAAACTAAAAAACAGGTCTCAAATCCTATAAAATTATTAAATATAAAAATACATTCTTAAAATCTGAAAAGAAATAACAACTAGCTGATTTCTGAGAGCAGTAATTTATAAAAGGTAGAGCAGTGGGAAAAAACTCCAAGAGACATATTTGACTATCTAACAATACAAAATTCTTGCATATCAAAAAATGTTATGTATCAAATTAAAAAGTAGACAAACTGGGAAAATATTTGCAAAATCTACTTTTGCGTTATAGACAAAATTATATCCTAAATAAAGATCATATAATCAGAGGTATGCCAAAACTGTATTAGAAATCATTCAAGGAAAATATAAAACAATTTTTAAAAAGACAAATATAATAAATCCACATAAAATACTGAAATATGCCAGCAATAAGGAAATATAAATTAATCATTTTTTGCCAGTAAAATCTGCAAAGATTTTTAGGGTGATTCAATGTCTAATTTGAGTGATAATGGAAGGAAATACTGGAAGAATAAGAACACAAGTGCTTTTTATTTCCTTCTTTTGTTCTGATCTATATTTTCCTGCACTTTTCCAAAAAATTAGATATCACTTTCTTTAGGACACTACCTGGTTCTAGCAGTTTACCTGGCCCACTTGCTTCCTTATCAACTTGAGTTTATCTAATTGCATTCTAAGTATATTTGTTCCACTCTTCCCAGTTAGATACGACAGGAGCCACTTATTTCTGTATCTTCAATGTGTATAAGTGACACTTCATAAATATTGATGTATAAATGTGATTAAATATGCAACTCTTAACTGTGTCCTAGGTAGGTAATTGTCAGATGAATTATGATTTATTTTACCTGATAAAATATTATACAACACTTTTACAGGTATTTAAGAACACTAGACTATATAATACTTGTTCTGCAATGATAACTATAAAAAAGAACAATTTGAAATTATTTGTACTTTGTATTATAATTTTAAAAGTGCACTTTAAAGAGATGACAAGGACTTATATCACTCAGTGATTCTCTTTAAGTTACCTTTTTTGTTTTTTTAGTTGTAGATGAACACAATACCTTTATTTATTTATTTATTTTTATGTGGTGCTGAGGATGGAACCCAGTGCCTCACACAGGCTAGGTAAGTGCTCTCCCACTGAGCTACAGCCACAGCCCATGACCTGACTTTTGTTGAGCAATTTTCTGTACTTTCCAAATGTCCTTAAATGATTATACTTTACTTTTGTAATTGAACAAAAAAATTAAATAATTTAAATATTTGGATAATTGAACCAAAAAAATTTAAAGCTTTTTTCCCCCCACGTAAATACTGTATTTATTTATATATAAACACAGCCAGGAATGGAGTATGATTATTTGAAACACAACTCACACCCAATCTAGCTACTCGCTATTTCTCCATTTACTAATCAGGGCTTAAGCCATACCCTCTCTGCCCCACATCATTTCAAGTTGAAGCTTGCCTTATGTCTAAACCTCTGTTGTTTTAAAACATCAGAGCACTCTCCTGGGAAATTATGTACAAGGTACAGATCTCAGCCCTTCAAGGATAAGCATGACTTTGAGGTCAACAGTTCAACTAAACAACATCATTTCTTTTA